TAATCTCTCTTTTCTGGAGCTTCTGTTTAAAAAAAAATTTTTTTTTTCAACGTTTATTTATTTTTGGGACAGAGAGAGACAGAGCATGAACGGGGGAGGGCCAGAGAGAGAGGGAGACACAGAATCGGAAACAGGCTCCAGGCTCTGAGCCATCAGCCCAGAGCCTGACGCGGGGCTCGAACTCCCGGACCGCGAGATCGTGACCTGGCTGAAGTCGGACGCTTAACCGACTGCGCCACCCAGGCGCCCCAGGAGCTTCTGTTTAAATAAACATGGAATAAAGCCTGGAAGTTGTATGCCAGTTGGGTTTTTTTTTTTAATTTATTTATTTAAATTAAACTTTGTTAACATACAGTGTAGTATTGGCTTCAGGAATAGAGCCCAGTAATTCAACACTTACATATAACACCCAGTGCTCATCCCAACAAGTGCCCTTCTTAACGCCCATCACCCATTTAGCCCATCCCCCCCACCCAAGATCCCTCCATTCCTTTTCTGTATTTAAGTCTTTTATGGTTTGCCTCCCTCTCTGTTTTTATCTTATTTTTCCTTCCCTTCCCCTATGTTAATCTGATTTGTTTCTTAAATTCCACATGTGAGTGAAATCATATGATACTTATCTTGCTCTGACTGACTTATTTCACTTAGCATAATATACTCTAGTTCCATCCACGTTGTTGCAAATGACAAGATTTCATTCTTTTTGATTGCCGAGTAATACTCCATTGTGTATATATATCACATCTTTTTTATCCATTCATCAGTCAATGGGCATTTGGGCTCTTTCCATACTTTGGCTATTGTCTACAGTGGGGTGCATGTGCCCCTTTGAATCAGCACTCCTGTATCCTTTGGATAAATACCTAGTAGTGCAGTTCCTGGGTCATAGGGTAATTCTATTTTTAATTTTTTGAGAAACCCCCACACTGTTTTCCAGAGTGGCTGCACCAGTTTGCATCCCACCAACAGTGCAAAAGTGTTCTCTTTTCTCCACATTCTCACCAACATCTCTTGTTTATTGAGTTGTTGATTTTAGCCATTCTGACAGGTATGAGGTCATATCTCATTGTTGTTTTGATTTGTATTTCTCTGATGCTCAGTGATGTTGAGCATCTTTTCATGTGTCTGTTAGCCATCTGGATGTCTTCTTTGGAAAAGTGTCTAATCATGTCTTCTGCCCATTTCTTCACTGGATTATTTGTTTTATGGGTGTTGAGTTTGATAAGTTCTTAATAGATTTTGGATACTAACCCTTTATCTGATGTCATTTGCAAATATCTTCTTCCATCCCTCCGGTTGCCCTTGAGTTTGCTGATTGTTTTCTTCACCATGCAGAAGCTTTTTAAGTTGATGAGGTCTCAATAGGTCATTTTTGCTTTATTTCCCTTGCCTCCGGGGATGTGTCTAGTAAGAAGATGCTGTGGTTGAACTCAAAGAGGAGGCTGTCTATTTTCTCCTCTAGGATTTTGATGGTTTCCTGTTTCATATTTAGGTCTTTCATCCATTCCGAATTTTTTTTGTGTATGGTGTAAGAAAGTGGTCCAGTTTCATTCTTCTGCATGTTGCCTTCCAGTTTTCCCAACACCATTTGCTGAATTGTTTTCCATCAGATACTCTTTCCTGGTTTGTAGAGAATTAGTTGGACACACATTTGTGGGTCCATTTCTGGGTTCTTTATTATGTTCCATTAACTTCTGTGTCTGTTTTTGTGCCAGTACCATACTGTCTGGATGATTACCGCTTTCTGGTACAGGTTAAAGTCTGGGATTGTGATACCTCAGCGCTTTGGTTTTCTTTTTCAATATTACTTCGACTTTGGGGTCTTTTGTGGTTCCATAAAAATTTTAGGATTATTTGTTCTAGCTCTGTGAAGAATGCTGGTTTTATTTTGATAGCGATGGCACTGAATGCATCAATTGCTTTGGGTAATATTGACATTTTAACAATATTTGTTCTTTCAATCCATGAGCATGGAATGTTTTCCATTTCTTTGTGCCTTTTAAAATCTCTTTCATAAGCTTTCTGTATTTTTCAGAGTACAGATCTTTTACCTATTTGGTTAGGTTTATTTCTAGGTATTTTATGGGTTTTGTGGCAATTTCAAATGGGATAGATTCCTTGTTTTCTCTTTCTGCTGCTTCATTATTGTTGTATAGAAATTAAACCCATTTCTGTACAATGATTTTATGTCCTGGATTTTCTGAATTCACATATCAGTTCTAGAAGTTTTTTGGTGGCATCTTTCTTATTTTCCACTTAGAGTATCATGTCACCTGCAAAAAGTGAAAGTTTGCCTTCTTCTTAGCCAATTTGTATAACATTTATTTATTTTTGTTGTCTAATTGCTGAAGCTAGGCCTTCCAGTACTTTGTTGAACAACAGTGGCGAGAGTGGATATCCCTGTTTCTAACCTTAGGGGGAAAGTTCTCAGCTTTTCCCCATTGAGGATGATATTAACCTGTGGGCCTTTCAAAAATGATCTTTATGATGTAGACGTATGTTCCTTCTAACCCTACTTTCTTGAGGGTTTCTATTAAGAAAAGATGTTGTATTTTGTCAAATGTTTTTTCTGGATCGATTGAAAGGATCATATGGTTCTTATCCTTTCTTTTATTAATGTGGTGTATCACATTGATTCATTTGCAAATATTGAACCAGCCCTGCAGCCCAGGAATAAATTCCACTTGATCACGGTGAATAATTCTTTGGCCAGTTAGGATTTTTAGAACTCCAATTAACAACACATGACTAGAAGCCCCTGGGTGGCTCAGTTGGTTTAGCATCCTGCTCTTGATTTTGGCTCAGGTCATCCCAGAGTTGTGATCCAGTCCTATGTCTGGCTCCACCCAAAACGTGAAGCCTGCTTAAGATTTTCTCTCTCTCTCTCTCTCTCTCTCTCTCTCTCTCTCTCTCTCTCTTTTTCTCTCCTTCTGCCCCTCCCCTGTTCATGCTGTTGCTGTCTCTCCAAACACACCACACACACACACACACACACACACACACACACACACACGACAAAAAGTGCCATAAACAGCAAAGGCTGTTATCATCTGACATCACAAGAAAACTGGAGATTTCAGCAGAGGTTAAGTCAATGGTACAATGACAATGACATAAGCTGGAATTTGGGTGCTTTTCTTCTTTTACTATGCCATCTTTAGCTTATCAACCATAGCTTGTCTCAAGGTCCCAAGATGGTAGTGGCAGTTCTGACAATCACATGTAAATATAATAATGTTGAACAAAGAAGAGTAGTAGTCTACTATGAGCTTTTTACCAGGTAGATATGGACAAATTTTCCAGAAGTTTCTCACCAGTGTCGCCTCAGATTCCATCTCACCAGTGTCCCCTCAGATTCCATTTCATTCATATGGCCTTGGATAAAACTGCCATTCACATGAAGAATGGTTGGAGAAGACATTACGTTTCCTGAGAAAATGGAGAGTTATTCTCAAATAAAATTAAGGATCAGAATTAATGAAGGTGGAAGAGTAGATAAAAAGACAATGTGTGACAAAATGTACCTGTTTCAAAGACTGCAAGTGATTCCATGTAGGGGTAAATTTGGGGAACTCTGAACTAAACAGTCACTGAGGAATCTTCTCATTTACAAGATTTGGTTACTATGATTTATGCGAAGTTAAACATTCTGACTTCTAAAAATAACTTATTTAATAGAGGTAAAGTGTGAAATTATTACATCAGAGTAAGCCACTTCATTTCCAAAATGAGAAACCAGCTACAAAGACAACAATCCCTCTGCTAACCTGTGAAACCTGAATAGTGGCACCGATATTAAGAAAGAATATTGTACCTGGAGGACATGCTGATCTACTATGATATTCAAGGAATGTTCTGATTCAATGTATAGTCCTTGGGGGAAAAAAATTGCAAGCTCTACCAAGACAATGGTATGGACAGATAAAGAACATTTTTAGAGTTGAGTAAGTCCTTGAAGAATCTTATTAACTTATAGATACCACAGGGTATGAGTGTAACTGCCCAAATTTCAGAACCAGCAAACATACAATGGAAAATTTGATTCTCCCTAGGCTTCCTCTTTAGGGTCCAAGTATACTCTGAGTACCCTCAGCTTTCTGAGGGGCACACGATGGAGATCAAGACTAGAGTTTGGTTCCCAAGTGGTTTTACCCCAGAAGAATACCATGAGCCAAGCAGAAGTGTAGGCAGGAGAGCAAAAGTCTCTCAAGTATCCCTGTTGGGCCAAAAATTTATTTATTTTTTTTATTGTTTAAACTGTAAACAAATCACCAATTAATCAAACTGTTTAAATGGATGTTTCAGAGCAGGGGGTAAATAAAAGGGAATATAATTTGGGCCGTATAATTGGATTCTAATGTTATGGTCAGAAATAATGTAGGCAAAATAATCCCAACTCCCGACTATGAGACGGACTGCATTTCCCCAATAATCCCACGTGTATGAATCTTCTTTCTATCCCTAGAAATCAGGGCATATTTTGATATTTTTATATTAAGAATAGAGAAGAAAAAGTAGATATGATTCATTGCTCTAAGCTTGCTATCAGGCCTTTATAAAGTACATAGAAAACTCTGAAATTAGTGAAACTATCTTAGATTTCTTCCAATTTAGAAATCATCTGTGAAAAATTACAGATCCACACTTTTCTTTCCTTTGCACAGTAAATTAAGAGTAAATATCATGACAACATGTGATTTTGTTTAATTTGACACAGGTAACCTAGGGAAGAGCCTGGCCTGAGGATTAGGTGCTAATGTAGAACTCAGAAAACTTTAATTCTGGATATGTCTGTGTTCTTGGACAAACACTTAGTTTTCCAATCCCCTTTTCTTCCACCTGTAAATTAAGGTAATATTTGACATAACCTACCAAGGTTTACGACACAAGTGTAATAAGGTGATAACTGTAGAGAATTTCAAAGACCCCTTACATGAATTAAATACAAATCATTTGATGAAGGCTGACTTTTTCCTCTTATATCATCTTTTGCTTTACAGAAATGGCAGCATTATAGTTATATTTGACCTTTTCTTTGCCCAGTGGGTGTCAGATGAAAATGTAAAAGAAGAACTGATTCAAGGCATTGAAGCAAATAAATCCAGCCAACTGGTCACTTTCCATATTGATTTAAACAGCATTGATATCACAGGTATCTGTGAACATTATTTGATTTCTTTGAATCATTAAGCTATGAAATTAAAATTCTAGCTATATACCAGGGAAGCAGTGGGATCGTCCTTGACTTTAGGAACATGTCTTATTGCCTGAGGTAACACATTTACATGAGAAATGTGAAATATGGAGAAATCATATTTGAAGAAAAATACCAGTGAGGAAAAGTTTGTAAAATATCAAAAAGGTTCTGAAAATATTGGCATACATAAATGTTTGTGGGTCACATCACATTCTTGGCATTTGTCAAGTACACCCTAACTTTCTAGGAACCCTCTGATAGTAAGAAACACTCATTACTTTCGGATAGAGTCATAGATGTTATTAAATTACGAAGTCACATGTCAAGCCCACTCTAATTAAGAACTTACAAGGAGAGGAAAAAACATAGAGAGCTCAATGAGTTTGATTCATCCCAATTATTTATTAATAAAAAATAAAGCTTCATTTTTAAAATAAGTAATTTTAATTTTTTTAGTGTTTATTTATTTTTGAAACAGAGAGAGCACAAGTGGGGGAGGGGCAGAGGGAGAGGGAGACACAGATTCCCAAGCAGGCTCCAGGCTCTGAGCTGTCAGCACAGAGCCCAATGCAGAGCTTGAACCCATGATCCGCGAGATCATGACCTAAGCTGAGGTCTGACACTTAACTGATTGAGCAATCCAGGTGTCCCTAAAATAAGTAATTTTAAAATAAAAATAAATCAAAGGGGAAGAGATATAAGGCATTAAAAATAATAGTAGGACAATAATGTCTATCAACACCTAGGTTATTCTAAATTTTCCATTCTAATTATCCTCCATCTAATTCAGTTCAACAAACATTTACATATATCTTCATTTTGTTTGAAAACAATACTACTAATTTACCAGATCTATCCAGGTCCACCATCCCTTACCTGTAAACCTTGGAGTCAGGTAAGTTCCGGAATTGGGAAATTTTGGGACTTCAGAAAGTTAACCAGTATATAAATACCCACATCAAGTGGAATAAAGACAAAATTTAAATAGCCTAACACCAGTTGAAGCAGTTTTGCTATAGAATGAGATCAGTCAATACAGGTTTGTCTCTAAATCAAATATATAAAAACATGCAGAAGTTCTTTGTCTTGTTTTTGATTTTGTAATACTAGATATGAAAGTTGCTTCTCCTTACAGTATTGGCTCATCAAGCATAGTTTTCTCATTCATTGAGTCTCCTCCTGTATCCTGCTGTTTAGGGAGAAGACAACTAATGCTCTTAAGAGCTTCCTCTACCGATGGCTTGGTTCCCTCTGGCGCAAAAGCTGGAGCAGGGACGTTGTGGATCTTTGTCTGATTCAGTTGAGCTAAAAACTACTACTATGAGTTAGAATAGGTGATTTATCTATGAGACATTTAATCTTTACATTAATCTTTTACATCGTGTCTTTACTAACCCTCACTTTACAGACGAGAAGACAAAAACAGATAATTTTGATAAATAACCTTAAATTACATAGGTATTTAGAGTTAGATGGAAGATTCTGACCCAGCTGATCTGACCCCAATGTCTGTGCTCTTAACCATTATGCTAGTTTGTTTACAATGTTTTTTTAATGTTTATTTATTTATATTATGATAGAGAGAGAGCATGAGCAGAGGAGGGGCAGAGAGAGAGAGGGAGAGAGAGAGAATCCCAACCAGGCTTCACTCTCAGCTCGGATCCCAAATCGGGGCTCTATCTCACAACCATGAGATCATGACCTGACCCAAAATCAAGAATCGGATGCTCAAATGACTGAGCCTCCTGGGCAGCCCTGTTTACGATGGTTTTATCTTTGAACAGCATTGACTGATACTTTCTCAATAGTCACTTTCTTCTAGAAAGTTGGGTTCTTACTATCTTTAGTTGAATATGCATCAGTTTCTGAAAGTCTCTTCTGGCAAATGTTTTAACAGATATGCTGAAACTTATTTTCATGACTCCCTACAGTTGGGCTATTTATGGGTGGTTTTTAAAAATATTTATTTATTCAATAAAAGTATATCTTCGAGTTATCTGAAATTAATATCATAGATGCAATAAACTATATCATCAACTCAAGAATATGCTCCACACATAAAAGTTACATTTAATTTGTTGAACTCTGTTAGCACATATTTATGAACATGATAGCAAGGTTAATTTTAGATATTTAAGTTTAATGAGTTTAATATTTACTTGTATCATGTGAATTTTTTAATTTATTACATTTAAAATTGGTTGAAATTTTTATAAATATCTGGAATTTTGTATAGTTTACAGCCAAATCAAATCATAAAAAATTAAAATATTAAATTATTTATGAAAAAATCTTATAAATCTTGTTTTGTTGTCTTCATCAATCTACCAAAAATTGTTTATGGAGCTGCTATAGATCTTGTAGGAATGAGACAATGCAAAAATGAAGAAATACTGGAATAAATAACCTAGTCAGTAGAAAAGAATATACCTCATAACATACTTATCTTAAATACAGTTTTAAATAAAAACAAATTGACCAGATGGGAGTTTTTCATAAGGAATGCTTTGGTTTCCTTTATACTGTACATAGTTGTCATTATGTTTTTAAAACTATTAAATATTTTAAAAAGTGAATAAAACAGCTAGTTTTTATCTTTTGTGTGAAAAGTACTTTTTATTTAAATAAGACTTGGTTCTCAGTAGATATTATTATGTGCAAGATTATTTTGACATCTTCCATATATTTCAGTGAAAAACTACTGATTCTAATTTTGACATGTTCTGGTGTGCAATGTTATATTAGCTGTCTTAAATATGTTATCCTATATAACTATGATGAATAGATATCTTTTTTTTAATATGAAATTTATTGTCAAATTGATTTCCATACAACAGCCAGTGCTCATCCCAACAGGTGCCCTCCTCAATGCCTATCACCCACTTTCCCCTCCCTCCCACCCCCCATCAACCCTCAGTTTATTCTCAGTTTTTAAGAGTCTCTTATGGTTTGGCTCCCTCCCTTTCTTTTTTTTCCCTTCCCCTCCCCCATGGTCATTGGTTAAGTTTCTCAGGATCCACATAAGAGTGAAAACATATGGTACCTGTCTTTCTCTGTATAACTTATTTCACTTAGCTTAACACTCTCCACTTCCATCCACGTTGCTACAAAAGGCCATATTTCATCCTTTCTCATTGCCAAGTAGTATTCCATTGTGTATAAGATGCTCAACGTCACTCCTCATCAGGGAAATACAAATCAAAACCACACTGAGATATGACCTCATGTCAGTCAGAGTGGCTAAAATGAACAAATTCAGGAGACCATAGATGCTGGAGAAGATGTGGAGAAACAGGAACCCTCTTGCACTGTTGGTGGGAATGCAAACTGGTGCAGCCGCTCTGGAAAACAGTGTGGATGTTTCTCAAAAAATTAAAAATAGATCTAGATATCTTTCTTAAATGAGTAAAACAAAGCAAACTTTTTGCATAGGTAAATTTTATATACAGCACATACAGATTCTGGAAATTCATCAAATGTATCACAATCAAATAATAATAGAAACATCCAGCATAAGATAGGATAAAATGGGAACTCTATAGGATCAGCTGTCCTTTGAACAATATTCAAACTGCATTCACTGTTTTGTAATATATTTCTACTATAATCCCAAACTTCAAATCAACTTTGCTTTATTCCAGCATCTTTGGAGAATTTCTCTACAGTAATTCCTGCCACAACTTCAGGTAAGTACTAATGGCATTTTTTTAAATGTAACTTGGGGGTGTCTAGGTGGCTCAGTTGGTTAAGCATTGGACTTCAGCTCAGGTCATGATCTCAAAGTCTGTGAGTTTGAGCCCCACATTGAGCTCCGTGCTGACAGAACAGAGCCTGCTTGGAATTCTCTCTTTCTTTGCCCTTCTCATGCTCTTTCTCTCAAAAATAAATAAATAAACAAACAAAGAAAATTATATACACACACACACACATATACACACACACACATATATATACACACATGTATGCATATATTGGTGGTCATCAAGCTCCATGACATTAGAAAAGGTTATTTTTAATAGCCCTTTCTAAGACGTTTATTCTTCATATTAAGAAGTGTACATTTGGTTAACAACAATATAGTTCATAATATTGCAGAGTTCATAATACCTAGTTACACATACCAAGGGCATGCATCTTTAATTTCAATGTTCCTTTCATATTTTAAACTCTATTTACATATGGTGTATGTATGAGTGTATGTATGTGTGTGTGAGAGTGTGTGTGTATGTATGTGTAGCATTCTAAAATGTGGCTCTAATCTTACAGGCTTGGAGATGAATCCCTAACATTTATAAGATCACTAGGAATAAAGAAAACAGCATGTAAAAGAGAAACAAATGATGACTTTCAGAATATATTGCATTCTTGAGAAAGGAAAATCCAAAGCTTAATGTTACCTTTGCTCTGTTCCAGCATTTTCTTACTCCATCTTTCTAACTATAATTGATTGCTACTGCTCATAAAATTCAGAACTTCACTTTGTCTCACCAAGATCATACCACTATCAAAAGAGTTTGCTTTGAGAAATTGTTAATAATTCTAAAATTAACCTAGCTGATCTTATAATGTAAAATTATTATGTTGTAGAAAAATTATTTAAATCAAATTCAGGAGATTTAAACATCAATCCTGGCTCTGCCAATTACCAGAACCACTGGACACATCTCTTTACCTCTCTGAAAATCTACTGCCCATAAATTGCAGATAATAAAATTGTTCTGAATATTTCAAAGTCATCCCAAATATCAAATTTATACATAAATGATTTTTAAAGTATAAATTGTTATAGAGACTATAAATATATTACTTTCAGTATTATCTATTATCATGACCATTTTTATAATATTTGAAAGATCTACATTTTTTAAGTGTCTTCTTGGGCCAGGTAGTATATTTTACCAGCATTGCCTCATTTATTCCTCAGAATGATCCTTTAGAGGAGTAATATTTTTTTC